GGGGGGGGGGGGGGGGGGGGGGGGGGGGGCAGCGGGCACACAGCAGGGCAGTGGAGCCGCAGGGCCGGGCCCGCGGCCCCCCTCGCTCACCGGCAGCGACATGTCCCGCTCGTCCCGGAACTCGGGCAGCGTCTCCAGGCAGAAGATGACGATGGAGATGAGGATGACCAGCACGGAGATGATGGCGATGATGCGGGCGGCCTGCGAGCTCTCCGGGTACTCGAAGAGCAGCCAGACCTGCTTGAGGAACTCGGGCCCGGGCAGCGGGCGCTGCTCCTCCTTGACGAAGCCCTCGTCCTCCCGGAACTTGCTGAGCGCCTCCTCGCCCAGCTGGTAGAACTTCAGCTCCTCCAAGAAGATGTCGAGAGGGACGTTGGTGGGGCGCCGCAGCCGCCCACCCGACTGGTAGTAGTAGAGGATGGAGTCGAAGCAGGGCCGGCTGCGGTCGAAGAAGAACTCGCCCCGCAGCGGGTCGTAGTAGCGGAGCCGGCGCCGGGGGTCGCCCAGCAGGGTGTTGGGGAACCGGAGCAGGGTCCTGGCCTGGGTCTCGAACCGCAGCCCCGCCACGTTGATCACCACCCGCTCGCAGCAGTCCCGGCGCAGGCACGGGATGTAGGGGCCGGGCGCCTCGGCGGGTCCCCCCGCTGGCAGCGCCGGCTTCTCCATGGCGGGGGAGGTCAGGGCCCGGCGACGGTGGCCATGGGCCGGGACGGGGGGGTTCCCCACCGTGGGTGCCCCTGCTTTGCTCTCCACTGATTCGTTCCCTCCCTCACACCGTGTTCCCACCTCCCTTGGCCCCAATTTGCTTCCCCTTTCCTGCACTCAGCCCGTACCCCCTCCTCTGGCCCCGATTCGCTCCCCCCTTCCCACGCTCAGCCCGTACCCCCTCCTCCGGCCCCGATTCGCTCCCCCCTTCCCACACTCAGCCCGTACCCGCTCCTGCTCCGGCCCCGATTCGTTCCCACATTCACACCATATCCCCCCCACATACACTCTCTTCTATTCTCACCCTTTCTTTTCTGCTCTGACAATTCCCTGCGCCCCTCTTCTGCGACCTCCCGGCCCCCCCTGCCTTCTGAGCCCCGGATCTGTCTGTCCGTCCGTCCCTGAGGCCAAGGGCCGGGATCTCTGGCTGTAAACACGTTCCCAGCCCGGGGAGGTGTCATGTTCTCAGGACAGCTCTGACTTCCAGTGCCCCTGTGCCAAACCCCAGTGCCCGCCCCTACCCCGCTGCCCCTTCGGCTCCGAGGGCACTAAAAATAACAGGGGGGCAGACAGCTCCCAGGGATGATATGGAGGCAGGGGGTGGGAGCCAGGACTCCTGGGTTCTAGTCCCAGTTCTGAGAGGGGAGGGGAGTCTAGTGGTTAGAGCAGGGGGCTGGGAGCCAGGACTCCTGGGTTCTATCCCTGGCTCTGGGAGGGGAGTGGGGTATAGTGGTTAGAGCGGGGGAGGGGGCTGGGAACCAGGACTCCTGGGTTCTATCCCTGGCTCTGGGAGGGGAGAAGGGTCTAGTGGTTAGAGCAGGGGGGGCTGGGAGCCAGGACTCCTGGGTTGTATCCCTGGCTCTGGGAGGGGAGAGGGGTCTAGTGGTTAGAGCAGGGGGGGCTGGGAGCTAGGACTCCTGGGTTCTATTCCCGCCATTTGTAAAATCAGAGAATAATTAACAAGCATAAAACTGAGATGCGAACGCCCAAGGGGATGAGCGCTTCCCTTTGGGGCGTCTCCCTCTGGGCCTCCTGTTCCTGGATTCGAATGGAAGCTCGTTAACCGAGATGGGGTTAATTAATCTAGTGTCAGGAGGAGAGAGGTAATCACACCCAAGTAACAAAGCGTTAGGGATCAAGAGATAACTGTGTAATAAGAAAATAATCTGTTAATAGGTATGACATAAGTGCCCAGGAATGGCTGGTGTTAACCTGCCTGGAGAGAGTGGGGGTGTGATAGACAGAGTTAATTAATTTATTAATTAGTGGGGTGTCTTCTGCCCTTACCTGAATTATAGGGACTGTGCCAGCTTCCCTGTGTGTATGCAATACACCAGGCTCTAACCGTTAGACCCCACTCCCCTCCCAGAGCCGGGGAGAGAACCCAGGTGTCCTGGCTCCGAGCCCCCCTGCTCCAACCACTAGACGCCCCTCCCCTCCCTGAGGAAAGAACCCAGGAGTCCTGCTCTAACACGCCCGACATCCCTCACCACCTCACACTCCCATCCCTGGTCCTTCTCCTAGTCCTGTTGGGTTTCTGTCCAGGGGCGTCTGTGCCCCTCACACAGCCTACGAGCGCCATCTGCTGCTCCTTTGTGGGCATCTCTGTTCCAGAGCCATCTGCGGTGCCAGGCCTGGGGCGTACGGGACCCCTGTGACCCTGCGGTGCCAGGCCTGGGATGTAAGAGGCCCCCGTGACCCTGTGGTGCCAGGCCTGGGGCGTACGGGCCCTATCGACCCTGCGTTGCCAGGCCTGGGGCGTACGGGCCCCCTGGTGACCCTGCGGTGCCAGGCCTGGGGTGTACGGGCCCCCTGGTGACCCTGCGGTGCCAGGCCTGGGGCGTACGGGCCCCCTGGTGGCCCTGCGATG